CAGCAGGAGACCGAAACAAATCACGGCGTCCTCGCCCGAATTTTCCCGTGCGATGTGCCGAGGTTCTCTGCCAGCGAACACCCAACAGCACAGCAGCAAACGACGCCTCTGATGCATTGACAGACCGCGCCTCCATCTGTGAACGAGCGCGTTTCAAGGGCGGTTGAAAGCGACGACGACGACGACGACGACGACGACGACACAGACGACACAGACGACACAGACGACACAGACGACACAGACGACGGCGACGACGACGACGACGACGACGACGACGACGACGACGACGACGGCGACGACGACGACGACGACGACCACAACGGCGACGACAAAGACGGCGCAGCGACGGCAGCGACGACACCGCTCCACTCGGATCCGATCCGCCGATCCGGCTTCGCTTAAGCTTCCCTCTGGAAGGGGGGGGGGCCCTGCCGACGCCGTGCTGCGCTCTCCCGGGTCGGGATCTGGGTCGGGGGACCGGCGCCCGGGTGCGGATCCCGAGGTGCGGACCCCGAGCTCCCGAGTGAAGCCGGGGCCCGCGGGGTCCGAGTCCAGGGTCCGAGGGGGAGCCCAGGGTCCGGGCTGGGCTCGGGTCGGGGGCCCTGGGTCCAGAGGGTCCCCGGGTGCAGGCTCCAGCGCCAAGGCCGGAATCCCAGCTTGCGTCCGAGATCTGGGCTCCAGGATCTGGGGCCAGGGGCCGGACTGCAGGATCCGAGCCCGGGATCGGGGGACGGGAGTCCGTGCTCCAGCCCAGAAGATCAAAACCCATTGACTTAGCAACCACACGGTGGGACGCTGAAATCTTGCAGCGCAGGTTCGTTCGGCGTAATTTAGTTGGGTGCCGCGCCCGTTTGATCGTTTTTTTCCAGCACTCATCATCGCGTTGTTCGTTCCGTGTTCTTTTGGGAACGGACGAGGCCCCGCCTTGTGGACGAGGTTTCCTGCCTCCCGTCTTCCTGTTCAACGCAGGCTTATGTATTCCATAGCAGCGCACTTGCACACTGTGGTTTCTGTCGATTGGTCGTTGCTGGTCGTCGCCGTTTGTCGGGCGCGAAGCGAGCGGCTTGGGGCCGCGGGGCCACCTGTGCGCATCACGAGGCTGCCCCGAAGGCTGTTTAGGGACCCTCTGATCCCCCAGGGGCCGTTCGGGGCGTGAACCGGGAGTTTAGGCCGTTTTCGGGGTCTGTTTCAAGAGCTGGAGCCTTTTTGATTGCGTCTGGGCCTTCTTCGAGTCGTCCAGGGTTTTCTTGGGGCCCCAGGCTGCGGGCTGCGAACTGCGCAACTGTCGTCACTTTCGCAGGCTCCATGGGATCCCCGCATGCCGTTTCAGGGCGACCTCGGGTGGTGCACTGCCTGTCGCTGGAAACCGAAAAGGCGAAGTTCTGTTGTTGTTATATTATCTCTCTCGATATATATGTGTATACTAATGTATGCGTGTGCGTGTGCGTATGTGTCTGTGTCTGTGTCTATGTGTGTGTGTGCCTGTTTGTCTGTTTGTTTGTCCGTCTGTGTCTGCGTCTGTGTCTGTGTCTGTGCCTGGGCCTGTGCCTGTGCCTGTGCCTGTGCCTGTGTGTGCGTGCCTGCGTGTGTGAGAAAGAGAGGAACAAAGCGCAATGACATCATTGTTTGTAACCTCTCGGGGCATCTTGGGGAGTCCTTGTCCTTGAGCGGCCCGGAGGGCTTGTTGTGCATGGGCAGTGGATGACCCTCTTGAGCCGTCCAAGAGCCCTCGAGGCAATCCCACGAATGGTTCGGGGTCCTCTTGGGCCGCCCAGGGTGCTGCCCAACCGTGTTTGGACGTGGGCTTTGGCGCTTGTGAGCGCGTCGGGGGTCTTCGGGGCCTCCTGCAGGGCCGTCTTGGGGCCACCCCCAGGCCGCGCAGGCAGTCTCAGAGCAATATCGTGGGGCCGCTTTGGCCATCTTGACGCACTAGAAGCCCGAACATGCGAGAACACGATGTACGTATTTTGGGGGATATGTTGTTATGTTTCGAAGCCCTATGGGGAGTCATATTGGGGCCCTTTTGGGACGCAGCTGGGGTTTATGCTTCCCCTCTTCATCGTCATCTTTATCCTCCCACGACGTTGTCAATATTTTGTTCGGCCAGCGTCTGCAAGCAAGAACGGTCAACTCACACCACCCACTTGTTCTCTCCTCCGACAATTTCCTTCATGGAGTATACGTGTGCACCCCCCCACCATTAGTCACTTCTGTCCCTCCTCTTCATTATTCTCCTCCACCTCCTCTACCTCCCCGTCTACATCCTCCTTTTACACGCGCTCCACCTCCTCATCCTCGCCACGCCAGTTCTCCTACGTGGAGCCCGCAGTAACGCAAACGCTGACCAACTTCCAAACCGCAGACAATGAAGGGCAAAACCAGGGACGGCCGAGACGGCGGGGTTGGTGAAAGCCGCAAAAGGAAACAAACAAATCGCAATCCACTGCAAGCTACGATGAGGGATTGTTTCATTTGCAATGGGAACCACGGGCAATACTTG